TCGGAATTTAATAATGGTGTTGAAATTACAAGAAAAGAAAATAAAACCTAAACATTTTAATCAAGGTGATAGGATGGATTATTAACTAAAATAGCAACTAATAAATAACATAAAATAATAATCTATCTAAAAATATAAATGGAACAATGATAAAGAAGCTAGGGAATCGAGAATAAATCGCTTCCGGTTTTACACTCGTTCAACGACAATCAATAACTCGTCAAAAGGCTCGACTAATTAACTCATTTAGCGGTTCAACCATACTAACTCTCGTAATATATGAAAAAACATAAACGAGCAAATTAACGAAACAAATAACACATAGACAATACGTCTCCGAACATGTCTACTCTAAACGAGCCAATTTCTATCAATTTCTCCCCTCTCGGTTATGAAATCGATTATTTTTACAACTCCTCCCCTCTCGGTTCTACAAGTTGCAATTCACAAAATTAATAACCTTTAACTTAACAAATCAATATCAAGCACAAATCAAAGTGTCACTCTTTGATTATATCATAAAATTAACCTAAGTGTCACTCTTAGGTTATAAAAGTTTACCGAGCTTAATTTATCAATTCATAATTAAAACAACTCGTCTAGATTGAATTATCGACATGCGTATAAACGAGCTTAAACCGGAATGATTATCCCCTACCCCTAGCTAAAAGATTAGCTACATATAATAAATTCAACACAACAAAATATTTCTCCTAAATTAACCATTATGCATGAATTAATTTAAAGAGAAAGTAAACTTACATAACAATCTTCAAATGTCGAATCCATATACAAGCTTCTCCAAATACAAAATACAATAAGAAAAGAAAATAAAAAGAAGAAGAAGAAAATGAAAAGGGAAGAGGGGAAGAACCCCCCTTGGTTCAAGCTTGCATGGAAGGTGATAAAAAAATTGTGAATTATGGGTTTATGGATGATAGATATATATAGGGAGAGGTAGATAGTAAGTGGGAGCATGTTGTTCATCAACTTTGTCATGTTTTTAGCTGAAAATTCGGCCCAAGTCTTCCCCCACTCTTAACCACCATGAAAATAGGTAAGAAAATGAGGTTTCAGCTGTCTGTCAGCCACGTTACCGCCGCTAAGAAAAAACTGCACTGCGCTACTTCACGGTTTTGGCTCGTTTGGGCTCGTTTGAAGTCGGATTTGAGTTCCATTTTTTCTACGCGTAGCTAACGAACCCCTCTATCTAATGATGCTTACAAAACACACTTTTGCCCAAAGTACAAATTATGTAGAATTTCTAATCTTTAAAGGGTCGGTAATTTGCGTTGCTTTGCGTTTTGGTTCCGTCCGGATTCATCCGAACTCGAAATCAACTTCCGTTTTCTCTTATGTGTAGCCAACGAGTCCATCTACATAACCATGATTTTCTGGTCTATAATCAACTACTCACGAGAATTCCAAACCTGCACACCAAAAACGAAGAAAAACCGGAAAAACACACGAAAAACACAAAGAACACCAAAATAGAACAAAACACAAAATAAAACACAAAATGAACTAAAAACCAACTAAAAGACCTAAAACGGAAAGAAAATAATGATAAAATAATAACAAAAATGGTTACAACAGTTAGGTTTTTTTTTTAATTAATAATAAGCCTTTAAATCCGAGTTTTATAGGCCTGGACCGTTTAGCCTCCAAAAAAGCCCGCTAGAACTAACCCGTTTAACTTGGATTGGGCTGTGTAAATGTCTAAATCAAGTACGGAATAGATCCTAAGATTCATTGTATATCACAATTTTGTTATTCTACTTCAAATGTAATTATGCGGTATAACATGTTATTATGCTTTTAAGAGATAATTATGAACAATTTTGTTATTCTACTTCACACGACAATATATAAGCCAATTAGAACGTCTAATAAGAAACACATAAAACAAATACTTAATACATAGAGTATAGTGATAGAATATAAAATCAGCGGTATATGATACAATATCGAGAAAATTCTCAAAACGTACGAAATAACTAGTAAAACGATAATAAATAAATAATTCTTTGAAGTTTTCTTTTGAGAAAAAGTATGTTAGTTAAGAGTTTATAATGTTTGTTCATATATGAAGTGTAGTTTGTATATGTAGGGTGAAATACTAATTGTGATATTTTTATATTATTATTTTTCATATAATAATAATAACAATAATAATAATAATAATAATAATAATAATAATAATAAATTAATTTGTTTGTTAAGAAAAAACCATAACTTATCCATTGGTCGTAAATAGGGAAATAACAATAAGCTGCATGCACCAAAAAAACAGAGGAAATTAAAAGGGCTTATTTTCATTAAATCACAAGACTCTTTAGTCAACTTCCTCAATCTTGGAATTGTTGATAAAGCAGGGAATTTTCGGACGGCCTCTGCATGGACGGCGGCATAGAAGACATCTTTGCGTCTTCTTTGAACTTGGAGGAGACCCATTTCAAAGAGGGTTGCGGCGAGGGCCACGCAGACGGCCTAATCGCCGGCCGGCAAGGAGGAGAGCCGGCAAGCGGGCCTCAAAACCGGGTTCAAGGTCGGCGAAGAGTTGGGCTTCTACAGA